TGGAAGTTTATTAGATTGAACAGCACATCTAGGATGTATGGAGATGATGATGTGGAAGTTCATTAGATGGAACAGCACATCTAGGATGTATGGAGATGATGATGTGGAAGTTTATTAGATTGAACAGCACATCTAGGATGGGAACAGCACATCTAGGATGTATGGAGATGATTATATGGCAGTTTATTAGATGGAACAGCACATCTAGGATGTATGGAGATGATTATATGGAAGTTTATTAGATGGAACAGCACATCTAGGATGTATGGAGTTGCATTGATGTAATAGTGTATGTCCTGGAGTGGAACAAATTACTGTGATATGGATTTCTGAATGACAATTGTCTGTTACCTTTTGTTACTTTGGGTTCAACAAGTTCTGGCTCTTTCACATTAGCAGGTTTCTTGGCATCTAAAACAGGTCAAATTATGATCAGCTGTGAAACATTGAGAACATATTTATCTTAAGTTCTTTTTAATCACAAATTCACTATTACCAAATTATTTCTGATAGAAAAAGAGACTTATATGTTAAGATATCTGCTGCTATAGGTGATATATACAGTATTACTTATATGTTAAGATACCTGCTGCTATAGGTAAGGTCCAGTATTACTTACCAGATTTCGGTTTGACTCCTTGGTGTAAAGTAAGAAACAAGTCATCTTTGTCCTTCACTCTTTTCTTCACTTCCTCTTTCAAGTCTACAATTTTTTTACTGTCAGTAAAAAACAAATAATGTTTAAAAATATTTCTATGAATTATGATATATCATAACAATTTTAGGGGGAAAACAACACATCCTTAATATATCAGAAATTATGTATTTCAACTGAACCATAGAAGATTTAGTAATAGTGATACAAAGATCGTCGCAAAATGTTAACACAGGGGAAACATATACATATGTACAAGGTCATGCGAGGTCATACAGGGTCAAACACTGATAATGGGTATACCATTGGTGTCCAGAGAGACACAATATAACACGGGTCAAACATAAAATGTTGGTGTCCAGTAAAAGACAGGTAACAGAAAATGCCTGTAAATTGATGACATCAGGTGTACCTAGTAGCTGTCTGTTTAGTCATGTGTCCTTCTGAAAATTACAACTTAAGGATACCTGGCCCATTGCCTTGTGGTTTTTCGTACATATAGTAACCTCCCCTTCACTACAGGTTCGCTATGACTTGAACACTATTGTGCTGCTCAGTCAGTTAGAACTGTAGCACAACAAGTTGAAAGTTAAGGGTTCGAACCCTGGTCTAGCTTCACAATTCTTTTTACAATAAGAACACTGCCTTTGATTGTTATTTATTTATTTGATTTCATCTTTGTGACTTTTTATACAAGTTCTAAAAGGTATGGTTTTCTTTTCAGTTTCCAATGTGCAGTTAGAGTTTATTTGGCAGTGGTACGGGGATCCTTAATACATAGCTGATGGAGTTAATGACTCTGCCCTGTTCTGGTATACACACCTTTTCCTCACTTCCACGTCATTGTCTGGGCATACCGTTGGTAATTTCTTCTTTAATTCTTTAACAAACATCTGAAAATCATATTTAGTAAAGTATGAAAAGAATAAAAACACTCACAATCAAAACTCAGTAGGGCAGGTGACCCACAAGAAGGGATTTAAGTTGAATGATGGCAATTAAGACAGGAGAACAGTCACCAGAAGTTAGCTGACATTTCTAGTAATTAGCTTCCAAGCAAAGTGTAATGTTTATGTTGAATTCAAATTTTCACATAACCTGACCAGGTTTCATCAAAATTGAACAATTTGACCCAAATTATGAATACTGTTGTCGAAAGTAATCCAAAATTTGTATTACATTACTATACAGAAACAATCAACCGTTTAAAATGTAGCAATATATCAAAACATAATAAACAACAATTGATTTCCATAGGGAAATAAAAGATATTTGCAAAGATAATGACCTCCACTACAATTACCATGTCAGGGACCTCCATTATATCATTACCATTGCAGTGACCTCCACTATCATTGCCATGGTAATTAGGGTGCCATGGTATTGCCGATTTTCTAAAATTGTATCCCAACTGTCCTGTGGTTTGATGACTATGTAAATTTGGGTGTCATCAAAATAGCAATGATAGCGAAGGTTATGGCGACTACAAATCTCTCCAATCAGTTTGGAGTACAGGCAATATTTCCGTGGTCCTAACACCGACCCTTGAGGAACCCTGAAATCTAGTACTTTGTCATGTGAGGTGGCAGATCCGATGGCAACACACTGTCGTCGTTCACTCAGGTATGACTGTATCCAGCATAGTGTGGTATCAGTCACTCCATATGAGTACTCCAGACATTTATAAAGTATGCCATGGTTGATGACGTCAAAAGTCCAGTATGACAAGCACCGCTCTGCACTTGTTATCCAATGCAAAACCTATGCCATTATGTACATGTAGGAGGGCCGTCTCAGTAGAGTGTCCCATTTGGTAGGCCGATTGCATGTTGTAACGGAGACTGCTTGCATGGAGATGAACCTCTAAACGCCGGGACACAACCTTCTCCAAGATCCTCGACAGAAAAGGCAGATTTGATAGTAGGCGGTAGTTCTTTAACTCCTCCTTGTCCATTCCAGGCTTCTTCAACAATGGTCTAACATGTGCCTTCTTGAAACACAGTGAAACCTTTGACTCAGCCAATGATTTGTTCATGATTGAGGTAATCAAAAGAAACAGTGCTTCAAGACATTGTTTTAATAGGTCTGTAGGCAGGGGATCATGCTCACAGGACTTTGATTGCGTGGTCATGATGATATTGCACAGCTCGTCCTGGGTTGTTGGTGAGAGCTTTGTCAATGGTTCCCCATCAAATTCAATGTCAGCAGTCATGACAAGAGATATCATTGTCAGCAGTATAGTTCACTTCGGCAATATTTTTCCTGATCGAGCTGATTTTATTCAGAAAGTAATAAAAGTTTAATTACGATGGCAGTACCTATATAATATACCAGGTACATGTATGGCTGCTACTGCCAACCAGCTTACCTTAGTGATGTCCTCCACTGTTCCGTTGTAGTCCTCCTCACATCTGACCACCATGGTAAACCCATGTTCTTTGGAGTGTACGTAGAACTTCATCGAGACTAAAACAGCAAAAAAAGGCATATGGAAATTACTGTTAGTCTTGCATTGCTATTAGAAACATACCTTGTGATGAAGATGTATCTTTATATAGCTCCACCTCCTGGGACTCAAACCTTCAGAAGGATATATAGACTTACTTACAGGCATACTTGAGAAAGTCTAACGTCAAGTCACAAGGTTTATAACACCATATATCATAGCAGGGATACAAGCGTAAGGTAGCAGTATACAGTAGAAATGGCCCGACTGATAAACAAGGCACATGTTGAGGAAATGTAAACACAGCGGATTTACCCTACACAACGCATGTATACATGTGAGTATATTTGTAAACTGCATTACATTTACAATACATATAAAGTACTGAGAAGTGTATAAACCTCTTTTTTCTATGTATGTCACTTGTGTGAAAACCATGGTTACCACATCAAAAAATACCAAAAAATTCCAAAAATTGCTATTTTTAACCCAAAATTTGACCCCCGCAACTAGTAATTTTTTTCCTAAGCTCTGTCTGAAATTAAAGATTACCTACCTGGTTGCAGAATTATCTGGGTCCCAGTAAAGTTGTAAAACTTGATTTTTTGCAATTTTGCGTCGTGTGCTGTTGTCAAAATTTTTCCTCCTGTAAAGCTAGCTTTTCATGTGTACACACCCTTTCAGATTATGGCCAAAATTTTATTCTCGAACCAAAGAAATCTTCTTTCTTTTTTACAAATGTGAAGCTCACATAGCCCACTTCATCATGCTTATACCAATTTTAGTACAGTTTTATTTTTATATTTTTTTTACATATCATTCTACAGGGGTTAGCCATTTAACAAAAATATCACCCATGGCCACAACCATGACTGTATACTGCTACCTAAGAAAACTGGAGGATCTGCAACTAGTCCATTCATAGTTTTGAAAAGAAGAATTGACACACAAATGACCCTACCACATGTGGATGACTTTTAAAATGTAATGCAACATCAACCAGAAAGCGAAACTCTCAAAACTCCATATCTTATTGTGCAATTCAGAAAATTTTAGGCAATCTCTTTTTCCATACACTGTGAAAGACTAAAAATCAGGCCCCTGCAAACTCCATCACTCTATCAAGTCAACATCAGGACCATTTAAGATACTCAGTCTTTCATTATTTCCAGATACATGTAATTTACAGACACCTCCACAGGCCTGTTGAATGATCTGCAGTAAGCTATGACCCCCTCCTCCGACCCATGATGTTTCAGCTAGCAAGATATGCCTTTATTTCATAATAAGATACATAAAATGAGAAAGTAGATCATAGATGCCCTAGGGAAAGCCCAGCTTAAGCAACTGTTTGGCCACCACATACACGTCATTGTCCTACGTACTATTAAAAAAAAAGCTCTTAAAGAAAGCATTCAGACTAAACGTCAGCAAAAATATATTCAGCAACCGAGTGCACATGCCTTCTGCCAGTATAAAAACATACTTTCTTTTAACCTACATTTGTTGCCATGTATCTATTCATCTCCAAATAAATCATTATAAAAATGTGTTATTACATAAATGCCACCTCCATGAACACCTGATAGCGACAATTGCACTCATGAGTTCTGTCGCAGTTATCGGAAGAAAAAAAGAAAAGTGGTTAATAGATGGAAATCTCTCTCGGAAGGCATTAGTTTAAGCAGCAAACATAAATACCTTCAAGAGTCGACTAAATGTGCACTGGAACAAACACCCCAGGAAACTCAGTGCTTCATTCTACTAGAACATTCAATGTCATGTAATGTACATAGTGTAAATAAACATTAGTGCACAAACAGAAGCGAACTAATTATAGAGTTTGGGAACAAAAATTTAAGGCATCGAACCACGCTTTGACATGATATTGTGAATATATTCTTTGATCTTTTGTTTTCTTTTGCGTTGGAATTTCATTAAAATGGAACAAAAATATGAAGTTGGGAAATTTCATTGAAAAAAAGTTAAATCAACATAGAATCCAATGAGAAAAAAGACTAATGGCATGTCACTCTACATGCTGATGTGTGTCTACTGCCCTGGTCACACATTCACGGATCGTCCCACCAGATCCACTACCGATGGAAACTCACAGATGACCCCGGAATAGTCTATATCCGTGGTCCGCTACAGATGCACCACGGTTTGACTATGGGTATATAGGGGCTACATGTAGTTGACAACGGGGAATGATACAGATTGCTAAGGTTTCTTATGGTTAGGTATTCAATCACATGTGTCATGGCGTATGCACTGCTGATTAACAACGGTTCGCTACAATTTTATATACGGGTTAGCACGAATTAGCACTACAGTTGTCTGATCCGTGGTGAATTTTTTAACATGTTCAAAATTGTCACGGATATACAAGTACTACTACGATTGACCTAGGATACGATACGGACAGCAACGTACCACTACAGGTTGCCATGAATGATGCCGGATCGTATCCGTGGCTAATCCTGGACGCCTTCAAGGAATGCTAGTTGTTTCGGTAACAAGTCATTTCGGGACATGACACAAGATGTTTCGGGACTTAATCAAGTCGTTTCGAGTCATATAAAATTTTCACTTATAAATTATAAATTTTGCTCCCGTTTCATATAAAGTTCTGTATGACCTGTCACGACTTACCCGTGCTCGGGATCATTAGTGTTACCCTGATTGCTTGCGATTGAGGGGATATCTACCAACATTTACCCGGCTGACAGTGTGTTGTTACCTGATGAAACAAATCTCATTATTAAATACAGATCTAAGGAACTTATGAAATTCAACATTCAATTTCTTTCGTTATAGATTGGTTGATTCCTTGTTTGATATTGTAATAATATGTTTTCAATTCGTTCTATTCTCCATTATTCACATTAAGAGACAAATGAGTTAACATTGATTCTAACAATGTTTTCAGCATTTTATTTTCGCTATATTGAAATCAAATTTCATGAAAGTAAAAGCGTTAAACACATCGAATGTTTTAGACATGCATGAGAATCAATTCATCAAATCCAGCAATATATTTTGAGTGATGTTATTATGTTGTGTATTTTTATTCATGTTTTATTAAAATCATGTAATGGTAAATGTATGACGGTAGAAGGCTTTGATAAGTTGTAATAACTTTTATCCAATCGATTGTTTAAGTTTATTTGACATTAAAATATGTTTAAAGAAAAGACAATGGTATCTACAGAAGAAGAAAATAGAAGAAAAATCCTGATATGACTTTTAACATGTCCCGAAACGACTTTTGTCTTGTTACCGAAACAAATTGTTACTGAAATGACCTGACACCCCTTCAAGGCCAGTGTATCAAAACTCTGAGGTCCTTGGTTTTTATCCTGTTTGTATCAACTTTTATCCTTTCGACGCAAGTCATGCACCATACACACCACCTACGTACATAGCAGAATCTTCAACCTGTTTGAGACTATTACCAGGCAGAAGCAGAATCCGGCGTCCGATCCGTGGATGTGTGACCGGGACATTTTAATAATGCAAAATTTGGGAAGCTTCAAGATTCACAAGATTCAAGATTCAAGAAGCTTTATTTAACGTCGCATATACATGTAACATAATAACATTAGCACTGTAGTGCTATTCTTGCGACAAAACATATATAAAATTTAACAAGGATCACAGTACTTATGAATAACTATAAAATCAGGACAACAATTCAAATTAGATATGCTAAAATTATACAGTAGAGCATATAATATCACACTTGTATGTCGTACAAGTGTTATGAAAGACAAGTTAAGACACTATATACTAGTGTAATGTACATATATGCTAATGTAGCAAAGTGTAAAAGTTAACAGGATATACACTTGCATTGCCTGTGCCAGTGTCACAAGCAAACAGGTGCATTCATCACATGTCATAATTACTGTTTTACTAAGATTAAAATGTCAATTACCTTTTTAATTTGTATCCAGTAGTATATACACCAAATTCTGCGGAAAACCAAGTTAAGACCTATAGATCAGTTTCACTTTAGGAAGATCAACATGACAGCACATGTGTGTTTAAGGGTTTATATCTAGGATGATTCACGCCTTTTCCTCCAATAATCGTGTTCGGTTTGACTACGACTGAAGTTGTCGGGCTACAAACAGCGGAAATCAGCACAAAATCAGTAAAGCGCATGCGTTTGGGTGTATCGTGTATTGGCAGATTTTCAGAATGAATGCAAACATCATCGAAAGATTAACACCCACGAAATGTCGTGAATGCAAATTCGAAGAATGTTAGTTACAGACGATTCACGTGTGAAACTACAGAATGTGACTCACGACCGGTGTCGGTGTGTATTGAATATTTGACAACAGAAGATCACTTGACAAACTTTGACGTGGGATGTTTGTAATGCTGTGCTATGTAAACGCTCACTCACTCACAGGTTCGGGTGATTCCCGGGTCTGTTGTTTACGAACTGTTACCGTTGATACAGATCACAGAAAGTGATCCACTATGTATACGTAAACTGTCATGCGATTCAGTATTGTACATATAATAAGACTTGTAGCTAAATTATCCTAAAAATGATGTCGTTTATGATGAAAAAGAAACGTTTCAAGTTCCATGTAAACTTTTGCATTGAGGAACTGTCATCTGTGCCTTATGTTAGTGGAATATTATTTGCAAAGATTCGACTGCTGGATGGTGGCAACTTTGCAGGCCAGTCTGAAAGGTAACTAAATAGATTAGACATTTCATAATAATAATATAATATTTATTCGGGTAAAAGGCATACATTACATGCTTATATCACATTTTGCAAATTGGACATAAATATATATTTTATCACAGATGTTATGTATAAGTTATTTATGCCATAGAACTAATTGTTATCAGTCAGAGTGTTACAAACTGGATTTGATTTGATTAATTTAGGCCCTTACCTAGGATGACCCATACAGCTACATAATAATAGGTGGTTGTTGTTATTGAGTGTTGCCTATATATAGATATAGTTCAACCAGGTGTCGGACAATTTGCCTAAAAACTGTTATGCCTCAAACTGTTTTGCCCCAATTTTCATTCATATTACCCAAACCATCTTTCACCTCAAAGCCAGACCCTTAAACAGATGTAAAATTACCTGGTAAGTTCTTGTCCATGTTAGAGATTCCTGTAATTTTCCATAATTCATTATTATGTATACACAATAATTGTCACCTACTACATGCCATTGTTTTTGGGAAATACAGCTTTTGGAGTGATGGACACTTTGAGGCTATATGGTTGTCAGTTTGGGGCAAAAGAACTATACATAAGTGGGGCAACATGGAAAACAGTTCGGGTGAAATGGTTTTTGACATAATGGTTGACAAACACACTTCAGTGAAGAAGTATTCAAGTGAAAACAGTCAAAAACAGATTGTAATTAACCTTCCAAGATAAAGATATTCAAGACATAAATCTATTAAGGCCTCGATCATGCTAGTTAAAAATGAACAACAAATAGTTTCACAATAGACATGGTGCACATGAATATTAACTATAAGTGTGGCAGATTTTAATTGTTCATAGGATTACGGTCGCCTTCTAGCTTCAAGCTAGAGGGAATTTCCCTTAAGCTCAGTGGTAGAGTGTCCGACTAGGAAGTCTGGGATCGCAGGTTTGCTCCCCGTTGGAAGCACACTATTCTCTTTCTGTTACATAAGGCTAGTTCTTGATCTGTCCCTCCCATTTTTGGATTTAACCATCATGTTTATCTGTAACCAATGTACATCTGTAAGATTTTTCACTAATACTGGGAACATGTTCACCTCCACGATTAGAAATCACAAGTATATACTATATAGAGCTGTGCACAATTTGCATATGTGTTGAACACATTTTGCTAAAACAGTTTCAAAATTTAGTAAAAAAAAAAAATGTAGATAAATGGTTATGAATGAATAGAAATATTTCTCTATTTATAGAAACAGACTGAAAGAATTTTGGTCTGTGGTTTTCCAGTCCCAGACTACTGTATATATACAAAGTGTGCGTTTCTACTTCATTACTATATATAGTAATACTAATCGGTATAGGTGGTCTTGGTGTGCTGGTTCAACCCCACTGACAGTTACTGCTGCAGTGCTGATACAGAACATCTAATTTAGGTACACAGTCATTGTATTTAAGTGTACCACTAATGGACAGAGATAATGTAAATTGCTGGTGTTCACTACCATATGATTGCATGCTTCGAGAGGAAGAGTGTAAGCTATGGGGAAGGAATTGAGTTTGTTGCAAGCTAGGGCACTTGATATATGAAAAGTATAACCAAGTATCACAACATGATGATAATAAGCTTGCAATTGTAGCATAATTACTTGCCTTAGATAAATTTATGATTTGGTCATTATGTAGCTGTAGTAAAGAATCCAGCAGTAATCTTTTTTTCGGGCAAGTCATGGATAATTTTTCGAGATTTTGACGCGTTCCCAGTCTGCGACCTTAGGCACTAGTCTGATGCCCACGACTAGTAAATTTAAGTCTGGACTAGTATTGAAAATATTTAACTAGTCCGACTGGACTAGTGGCAATTTTCCTCCAAAATAATGGAAATAATAATAGTGGTATAGATTTTGCACTATAAAGCGTGTCACATATTCTAATCCTATCGTAAAATACAATATTCGTCAAAGCTTCGAAGTATCGATGAGCGATCGCGAGACAGGGTTCCGGATTTTAGTAGTTGCCGAACATTACTTCCGGTTTATAACCACGTGAAACCAACTATGGCGATGTTGCTAAGTTGGAGGGAAGGTTCAAAACCAGCTAAAACTGTCTGTGAACAGACAGAAAAAATTGCTCCAACACGAAAGAAAAAATTACAGTTCTGGCTAGTGCTTAAAGGCTCGATGGAAACAACAGTAGTACTGTATTAGAGATAATTGGCGATCACATTCCATGCTCCGTTTCTTTAGTTAATTATTGAGAGACATTCTGTTTTGATTTCTAATAATTTTCCAATTTAGATCACAATTTACACTTCATGCTGTAAAAAAGACCAGTCTGTTATTTGGACTAGCAAATTCACAGTTGGACTATTAAAATTATGGGTTCACTAGTCCAAGCGACGAGTAAGGAAAATAGTTAACATCACAGACTGCGTTCCAAAGACATATAACATTAAGGTTGGTGAGTCCCTCAGGAAAAGCAGGAGTCTGGGACTTAAATAGTGCGAGTCCGGAAAATCCCAGAATGAGGGATTATTAACCATACAGTGGCACTAGACACAACTTAATAAGGTAATGTTTATTTAACCAGGACATTCTGATATTACCCATGTGTTAAACAATTTGTACGATTTTGTAGCTGATGGTGGCTTAAAATTCAAAGCAGAGTGGATTCAGAAAATATTTGTAGGTGGTCTGGATCATATATATACTATTATGTTTTTGTGTAGCTCTGTGTTGGTTCCCCCTGAATATAAAGGGGACCACAGCTATTAATTCCTGTCGAGTGGCACATGTAACCTACACTTAACGTACACTGTAACCCGTTGGACCAGTTTCTCAGGGAGTAGTTATAGGCTATCATTGTTGTATTCACACTGGAAGTAATGCTACATTTCTGTGTTCTCGTTTAGGAATCCAGATTGTGGTTATAAAACTTTCATTTGGGTTAGAAATTCTATGTGGGAACAAAAGGGATAATCATACGGAGAGTCACACATCAGGTTATAATATGTAGTCTGTATGGACAAGGGCATCTAGTATGGATTGTGTGAGTAGATTGAAATATGCTGCTCTATAAACAACTGAGCCAACAGAAAATGCTATTTGTCATAATACGAAGAAAATTTCAAGATATGTATAAGTGGATATATATATACAGAGTTCAAGTCCCAGCTGATATATATGCTAACACCATTTAATGATTGTATTACGGTCCTTAAACTATTATGGCCTAACCATTGAAAATGAGTTTAATGACACTTAGAATATAAACTTGTCAAAATTAATCTTTTAGAAATTTGATATTTTGAAATATTTCTTTGTACCTGAATATATTCATCAACTTGATTACCTGAACTTGGATGTAATGGAAATAATTATCCCTGGATAAATATTGATATAGTGTATAAAATCTTGTTTCTCACAGTTAATATTGACAAAAAGGTTAATGATGATGGGTTCCCCAAGTTGGTAGTACAATGTATTTGTAAGGATTATGTAATAGAGGTAGCAGGAGTAGTGATCTACGACCAGATATCTACTATCTACACTGTAAATCAACAGTAGCATGATACAGCAAGCTGTACTAGCTGGATATACTTTTAGCCTATCCACAAAATCCTCAACCTTGAAGCTTCCATGGAGGCTAATATACTATTAAAGAAAGGTATATGTGTGATATTAAATAGAAATTCATTTCTACTTAACTAGGATTGGTGGCGGTCTGTGTACAAATAGAACTCTAAGAAGACTGCTGATATAAATAAGTTTGTTGTTGTTTGGCCCTTGCTATGACATACTGTAAACAGAGGCTGTATTTCCTTAGGGAGCATTGTTATCAATAATGCAGGAACTGCCATTTGTTGGCCCCACTTCATTGATTCCCACTTATCAAAGACAAGTGGATTCTGTGGAGATCTACACAGGGACGTAACCTCATTCAGTAGTGGGGGGCTGGGGAGGGCATAGGCAGGGACATACCCTCATTTAGTAGTGGGGGGCGGGGGGGGGCATAGGCAGGGACATACCCTCATCCAGTAGGGGGGGGCTGGGAAGGGCACAGGCAGGGACGTAACCTCCTTTAGTAGTGGGGGCTGGGGGAGGGGCACAGGCAGGGACATAACCTCATTTAGTAGTGGGGGCTGGGGGAGGGGCACAGACAGGGACATAAACCTGATTTAGTAGTGGGGGCATAGGCAGGGACATAACCTCATTTAGTAGTGGGGGCTGGGGGAGGGCACAGGCAGGGACATAACCTCCTTTAGTAGTGGGGGCTGTGGGAGGGGCACAGGAAGGGACATAACCTCCTTTAGTAGTGGGGGCTGTGGGAGGGGCACAGGAAGGGACATAACCTCATTTAGTAGTGTGGGTGGGGAGGGCACAGGCAGGGACATAACCCCATTTAGGAATGGGGGCTGGGGGGGGGACATGCAGAGACATAACCTCATTTAGGAGTGGGGGCTGGGGAGGGGCACATGCAGGGACATAACCTCATGCAGTAGTGGGGGCCTGGGGAGGGCCACATACAGGGACATAACTTCATTTAGTAGTGGGGGCTGGGGGGGGCACAGGCAGAGACATAACCTCATTTAGTAGTGGAAGATGGAAGAGGGGCACATGCAGGGACATAACCTCATGCAGTAGTGGGGGCCTGGGGAGGGGCACATACAGGGATATAACCTCATTTAGTAGTGGGGGTCTGGGGAGGGGCACAGGCAGGGACATAACCCCATTTAGGAATGGGGGCTGGGGGGGGGACATGCAGAGACATAACCTCATTTAGTAGTGGGAGATGGGGGAGGACACAAGCAGGGACATAACCTCATTTAGTACTGGGGGCTGGGGAGGGGCACAGGCAGGGACCTAACCTCATTCAGGAGTGGGGGCTGGGGGAGGGGCACAGGCGGGGACATAACCTCATTCAGTAGTGGGGGGCTGGGGAGGGCACAGGCGGGGACATAACCTCATTTAGTGGTGGGGGGTGGGGGAGGGCACATGCAGGGACATAACCTCATTT